TAAATGCCTGTAGTGTCCCCATCAACATACCGTTAACACATTGTAACACCAGGTCCATAAACAATACAATCACGATTCCGTATGTTTTGAAGTACCGCCCTCGGTCCGGTCTCCATATTTGACAGATGGTGGCCATTGTTGCTGTAGAGCCAACCGAAGCTGCATTCAGTTCATGTGGAGAAAAACGACTGTTGGCAATCCCCTACTAACCTGTTCTAAAACCATAGACATATCAATAGTAAGTAAGGAGTAACTGCCTGCTAACACACGTCTTCTACTTATGGTGTTTATTGGTGGTTTGCAAGCCAACCTAAGGTGCATTACCGCCACCTGCTGGGCTGGAGTGTGGAACGCTAAGAGAGCCGTAGGAATACATATTAATTCTTATTGCATAAACTACTAAATTCTATCTAAATTACCTATATCTGCCAAATAACTAATAACTCCACATGTCTTACAATTGCTGCCCAAAAGACTCTAGTGCAGTGGTGGGTAATTCCAGTCCTCAAGGGCCGCTGTGCTTGTTTTCCAACTATCCCTGCCTGACCTACTGCTGATTACCTGGCTCAGGTGTGTTCAGCCACTCAGAAGCTGGAAGATACCAATTCACTTTATCTTTCCTCACTCCACTTTCATCTAAGATGGTATCTTCCAGCTTCTGACTGGCTGAACACACCTGAGCCAGGTAATCAGCAGCAGGTCAGGCAGGGATAGTTGAAACAAGCAGGACAGCAACCCTCGAGGACTGGAATTGCCCACCCCTGCTCTAGTGATACATTAGTAATCTTCTTTTGTTCCAATACTGCTATCATTTGAGCATGTTGCTCATTATAAGCACTGCATACGAACAGGACATGCTCTACAGTCTCTATCTGACTACAGTGTGGACAAAGACCTGTAGGGTGTTTACCTATTTTATGCAGGGTATAATTTAAACTTGTATGACCTATTCTCAAACAAGTTACTACACTTTCTTCTTTTCTAGTACCAGTCCATGCCTATTGGTAGCCAACCAATTTTTGGATCTTGTACAAATGTCTACCATTTTCACACCCATCCCACTGTTCTTGCCAAACTTTTTGAATATGAATATTAATAAGGGATTTCAGGAAGAACTTCCAGATGACTGGGAAACTACAGCAGAAGTGATCAGGGAGACAGGTAGGAAGGTGCTAGGTGTGTCATCTGGAAGGAGGAAAGAAGGTAAGGAAACATGGTGGTGGAATGAGGAAGTACAGGACAGCATCCAGAGGAAGAGGCTAGCTAAAAAAAAGTGGGACATAGAAAGGACTGAAGACAGTAGACAGGATTACAAGAAATTGCAGTGCAGACTGAAAAGAGAGGTGTCAATGGCCAAACAGAAAGCATATGATGAGTTGTATGCCAGGTTAGACACGAGGGAAGGTGAGAAGGACTTGTACAGATTAG